TCAAGCTTAACTTTCAAATCGAAGTTTTCATTTTCAATACTTTCAAATTTCATTTTTGAAAGCTCTAAATCCTTCTTCAAGATTTCATTTTGATTTTCAAAATCCATTTTCGTTTCTAGAAGAAGTTTGTTTAATTTGAAAATTTCATTTTCAAAGTTTTCATATTTTATTTTTGAAAGCTCTAACTCCTTTCTCAACATTTCATTTTGATTTTCCAAGTCTGTTTTAGCTTTCAAAAGAAGATCAATTTTAGCAATAAATTTAGAAATCAGATTTTTATATTTGGAGTTCATGGTCTCAAACTCCAAAAAATAATTCATCATAAGCATCTTGTAACTCATTAAAAGATTTTGAATTTAATCTATTTGAGTTAGAAGATACCTTTGGCTCTGTGAGAGCTAATAGAGACATCATCTTTATTGGTTCTTCTTCTTCCTTGTCTCTATAGATCTCCTCAAGCTTATCCCACATCTCCTTGGCATTTGAACAAGAAGAAACTCCTTTATATACATTAGAATCAATTGCACAACACAACATGTGCATAGCCTTTGTGTTTTGTTGAGCTTTCTTCCGTTCTTGATCACTCCACTTCTTTGCCTTCTTTATAGCAGAAGAATATCCTTTCTCGATCATCATCCAAGCTTCCATATCAAATGCTTGGATAAATATCATCATAAGCTTCTTCCAACGATGATAATTTGTTCCATTGAAGTGTGGAGGCACGTCAATTGGTCTGGATTCTTCCATGGAGAATGAACCGGGAAGTGGACGCCATCTTTATCGATTTAACTCTTCCCGGATCTACTCAAGAGGTGGTTAAACCTTTAAATGAGTCAAGCTTTGATGCCAATTGTTAAGTTAATTGATTGATGGAAATAGCCAAAAGGGGGTGAATTGACAATTAAAATTTTGGTGGAAGCTTTTGCAGAAAATTGAAAATATTTGCACAACGATTTAGAGTGGTTCGACTTTCTCAACCAAAGTCTACGTCCACTACCTTAGCTATCCACACTAAGGATTTTCCAACAAATTCACTAATTTGTTCTTTCTTTTGAGGACAAAGAGTAACCTTACAACTCCCTAAGAATTATACCCCAAATTCTTGAGCACACTCTTTTTCAAAGAGAAATACACAAATTTGCAAACTTATAAGGAAAACCTCACAAGGTAAGATTTTGCACAATTCTAGAACAAGAAAAGAACACTGACAAATAATTACAAATGAGCACAAATGGTGTTCTTGAAAGAAAAATGAATATTAAAAGGAAAATTGGCTTGATTTGCACAAACTTGGTGTTTGATGCTTTCTCTCTTGTTTCTCTATGATTTCTTGTTGATCAAAGGTTTCATAACTTGTTTAAAAACTCCCTCAATTGATTCTGAAAGTTGGGATGATTAATGGAGTCAATGGAGCCTTTTAAGTGTGAAAACCATTAATACAACAGCTTGGAGCGTGGGGGGGGGGGAATCGATACCCCCTCATGGGGAATCGGTTCCCTAAGTGTAAAATTCAAATATTTCGACCGTTAAACAAGGGGGAATCGGTACCCCTTGGGGGGGAATCGGTTCCCTCCCAGCATTCTGTTTTTCTCGGAGCCAAACTATTCAGGGGGAATCGGTACCCCTTGGGGGGGGAATCGGTTCCCTCTAGACATTCTGGAATTTTTGGCTTTGAAACGGTTCGAAATACTTTGTAAAATTATTTTGAAATAATTTTAAGATTAAAACTTAATTTTACACTTGAGTAAGGATTAAAAATGACATTTGAAAGATTTGGAATAATATTTTGATATTCGAATAATTATATCAAATATACTTAGAAAATCTTTTTGGAAAATCTTAAAATTCATTTATCTTAATTTGTTATATCGAAATATCAAAATGTTTTCAACAATCTCCCCTTTTTGATATAACAAAGCATTTTAGTAATTTTAAGATTTTGAAATCAAATTTTGAAATTACTCCCCCTTACTCTAACACTTCTCCCCTTTAAACACTTTAATATTTCTCCCCCTTTTTGTTAAATCAAAAAGACATTTAAAAGATTTTAAACAAGTTTTTGAAAAACAATTAGCCAATTGATAACTAAATATAGCGTAAGCTGCTAAGATCATAATCAAGAGAAAGATTAGCCATTAGTTCCATAATTCAATATGCGGTACTCTTTGTTAAGAATTATTTTGGAAGAAAAAAATGGAGCTTTATGGTCGATGTGTCGTTTCTACAGTACATATGTATGTATGTAGGATTTTCCCGGGTGATGTACTTAATTTGTAACTATCTCTGGGTAAAATCTGTGTGTTCTTGATTTGTGATTTCTTATGATTAAGCAAGGAAATGAAGAGATAAAAGGGGGCTTTGAATATTTAGGTGCACTTTAGATTCAAAACCTCTGTTTTGTTGCTGCATGACCTGAAGCAAGGAGATCCTGCAATTCCGCTTATTGCAATTACTGCATCGACAGTCAGTCCGGCACCCCTTTGGCTTTCCATTCTGCAAGCTACTCCACTACTGATCTTAAGTTGCTCCCTATAATATGGACAACTAGCATGAGAGAGTGATTAAGAGGGCAGGACTTACGAACACTGGAATTTGTAACAAGCATGCATGCAATTACTGGTAGTAAAAATTACCTTCAATTGTTGGTGAAATGAAAAATTTGCAAAATCACATGTATAATCACATCACTCTCTCGAAAACTTTTTTACGCCAGCCCTGAAATCAACAGATGTGGATAAGCTTGAAAACAGGGTATTCAGCTTATATTTTTACCTAGATTAGAAGCAAGAATCACATTTGCTGTTTAAGCTATTTCCGTGCTTCAGAACATATTATTCGAGGCCTGACTTTAATCTTTCAACATGAAAAGTTCAAAGGATTGCATTCATCAGGTGAAAACGCACTTTCACATCGCAATCCACTAGGAGCATCCCCTCGTTTAATCACCAGTTCGGCAGCAACACACTTGAAATAAATCCAACTCTACTAAATGTTACTTGAGATACTTTTAAATGAAGGGTAAACCTTCTGAAAGATTAGTTTTCTTCAGATACTTTTAAAAAATCTCCTTCAAATACAAATTTTGGTCCATACATTCTGTTTACAGATTATAATTCAAAATATCAGTTGAACTTACAGGGATCATTATAATGAGAATCTGCAAAACCAGGAGACATGTGGACTGAACTCCGTAAATGGAGAGGAGAGTTAAAGACAAGGCAGCAGACATAAAAAGTTAGAAGGAAATACACAGCACTCCATGAAATTAAAATCCACAGCCAACACCAATCACAAAAAAAAAAAACAGGTTGTTTGAGAAAATCTGTCTATAATGTCATTCAAAAACTCAAGTCAAATGCTCAAAAGCAGACCTTTTGAAAGAAGCCTTTGATCCCTGTGAGCAAGTCATCGAAAATGGACAGACATACTTCGGTGCCGCTGAAATAAAATAAATAAAATCATAACATTCTATATAACCTAAGATAAGAAAAATGTTTCACTATGGAACTTGCCTGAATTTTGCATCATTCTTAGGAACTGAAGGCTGCCTACTGACCCTTCTTAAGTGATAATGATATATCTTATTATCACTAATGCCTGCAGCCTCGCACACAAATTTGAATTCATTAAATACATACATTCACATGTGCATGTGTGTGTTATAAGAATTATTTTTGAAATAATTTCAATACACAATTAATTGATATTTTCCTTTTCTTTGCAAAAGTAAAATACCAAATCCAATCATAGGATACAAAATATTATTATGATTTTAGTCGAATGTTACTGATTTAAATTAATAAAAATATTAGTTATTGTCGTTGAAACGAATAGAATAATAATATCCAACGATTATAAGATTAGGCCTACAATGAGAATTATAATATATTTTCCCGTAATTTTGTCTTTAGAAAATAACTCTTCATGCAGGAAAGGTCGTCATTGCCATATGCGGTCACAATCTATTTCTCTATATTTTCTAATTAACCATAAACAAATAGACATTAGATTAATTATTTGAGGATTATTTATATATTATCGATTTATCTATGATATATATAAACTCAAGAATTTAGAAAATACTTTAAACTGTCTAGCATACTTTTAAGGACAATAATTCCATTTGTTGAATTGATTAAGAATAATTATCAATTACTTGATAGATTCAAATGTGTTAATGTGAACGTGAACGTGATAAGTGATTTCAATTTTATCTTTATTTGAATAAAATTTAAAGAATAAAAATGAACTTATCAAGTGGTAATAGTGGTAAAAATGAATATTGTTCTCTCTAAAAGTTATGGATTCGAATAGTTGCATTATAGTGTGTGTTGTCAATTGGTTCTAGTGTGAGTATAAGGTAATATGTGTTCAAAGGCTCTAAATCATTTAAGATTGAACACTTATATCCTTCTCGAACCTGAAACTTTAAAAAATAACAACAATTTCTTAATGATTAAGGTTGCTTGATTCGTGCACAATTTCGTGATATTTGAAATATATATATATAATATAAGTCTATAAAAATTGTAACAATTTTTATATTCTTGCAACTAATTATATAATTGTGTAATTTTAAGTCATTTTCACCTTAAATTAAATAATAAAAAAACATATACTTCTTAAAAACGTTTTGTTGAAAGTACTCTCTTACAGTTCACTAATCGACCACACCCTTGAACCCTAATTAGACTCTCGAGTCAGGATCAATTCACAATTGACCTCGGGATTTTAATCCCTTTATAGACATGAAATTCAAGGCGTCAAAGCAAGGAGAGCAGCTCCTTTTTGTTTTCACAGACAAATAGCGTCCACGACTAAGCAAGCAGACAAAATCCAAGCGCTGTTTGCATATTGGGATGTGATTTGCAGCCCTCGTTTTTCCATTGGACAAATGCTTTTTAATCACATAAAATGTATAGAAATTCAAATGTTCTAAAAATACTAATTGTATTAATATATAGAACAATTGAAAGAAATTATTAACTGCTTTAAAAAAAATAGTGCTACTATATATAAAGCTTGGGAAATCTGAAGAACCATAACCTAACCTTGCCATGGTGTTTGACTGTGCCGGTTTTGTTGCACATATGTTGAAGAAGAAGTGTTGAAACGATGATTAAGCTCGGCTAAGTTAGGGAAATGATCTCTATGGGGAAATGGTTTAAGATCCAAGAAATCTCTTGTCGTCCCATTCCCGTCATTGTTCTTATTAGCACCATTACTGGTGTTTCCTTTGGTGCTCCATGTCCTATAGAAAGACTGTTCAAATGGTGAAGACCCTTCAAACCCAGTTGCAGAAGGCAAAGAGCGCAGCATTTCATTGAGAAGAGAATTTAAAGGAGCACATGAGTACTGTTCCATGAGACCAGAGGTGATAGCAGCAGCTTTATTCCCATGGGGAAACCCGCTTCCAAGGTCTTGGTCACGTGAGAATAAACCCAGACCAGAACCGGCTGTTGACCCTACAAAATAAGGTCGACTTTGCATGGCTACAGGTGATTGTTGGCTCATGGTGACACCCATTTGAGCTGCTTTTTGCAGGAGTGCAGTTGCAGACGTGTGTGGAGAAGAAACTATTGCAGACATGTTTTGGCTAGGGTTTTCTGACAGTCGGTGGTCTAACTCTAACCATGTTGGATTCATGCTATCTTCAGTTCCAGCTCTTGCATTGAAAGGATGACCTTCTTCTTCTTTAGCCGAGAGGGCATTGAAGCCATGGCTATGGACCTGGGGTTGCAGGCTGTTCATTTGTTGTGTTGTAATTGCTCTTGCACTCTCCTCGGCCAAGGCATCACAAAACGCTCTGTGAGTAATGAAACTGTCCCTTCTGTACAAAAAACAAGCAAATAAAACAAAAACAGCAACTCAATGGACAAAAACATACTAATTTCTTAATCCAAAGCACCATTAAAAATTGTCCCTCATGTAGTGTATACATCAATTACAGACACACACCAGAAGCTGACGCTATGCGCATGCAGGAGAGTGAAGAGAGATGAAAGATTTGAGGCATATTTTGAGATCTTAACTTAATGGATATGTGATTCAAACTAAAAAGTTCACTTAATTTTTTTTACCTGGAGAAAAGGGTGCCGCAGTCACATCTATACTCTCTGGTGCCACAAATTTTGGAATGAGCTTTCCAGTCAGATTGAACAGCGTAAGTCTTTGAACACTTTTCGCACTTCCATTTCTTCTCGCCATGCTTTCTGCAAAAGTGTTTCTTGATCCCCGTGAGGTCCCCGAGTGCCCTAGACGGCTCGTGGTGCACGCATGTTGTCTCAGGGCACACATACACTTTCTTCCTCGCCACTTCCTTGTTTGTTCTTTGCTTTAGCTTCCATGGCAGATTGTGTCCTCTTCTGTGTAGCTGCAGATTCTGGTCTCTTTGGAACCCTTTGTTGCAGATCTCACATAAGAACCTGTTTGTCGCCAACAGCGTCTTGGGTGACAAAGCTATCACTTCAGCATCCGGGTCTGGAAAAAAAATACAATTTTGAAACCCCCGACTCAAACTGTTTTCATTGATTCTGATTGTTTTTGAGAAAATTAATGAAAACCTGGGTTGCCTGGTAGATTTCTCTTCTTCTTTGCTGCATTGGGTGCTTGGTTTGTTGAAGCAATAGACTGTTGTGGGTACAATGCTGTGGCAGTCCCTGAAGCAGCACTAAATTCACCAGATGTTGAAGTCAATTTTGACATACTCTCGTCCATCATTATATTTACATATATATCAACTTTATAATATGTATGAATAACAGAATGTTCTGAGATCTTGCTAAAGCCCTAATTTAGAAAGGCTATTCATAGTGGAAACTGGAAAGTAATAATTAAAGCAAGAAGAGTAGCTGATAATACCCAGAAATCATGAAAACTAGAATAAACTACTCTTAAAGCATTCAAGTTCCAAAGAGAAAAGAAAGAACACTTTGCTTGTGGCAGATGATAACACCGTGAAGATCAATGAACATAACGCCATGAAAAAGACTCATAAATGAACCCAGAAAAGATTTTTAAAGAGGAACTAAATAAATATGAACTGGAAAACGAGAGAGAAAGGGAGAGTTATGAGAGATTGATGGAGATGTGGCTGAGAATTGTTGAGGAGAGAGAGAGATTCCAGAGAAACAACACTCCACTTATCCCAAAATCAAATACCATGAAACCCAAAGCAGATAGAGAGTTAGCTAAGCTTGTCGGTAAGCTTTTTCACTTTCTGTCTTTTCTTTTGTTTTCTTCTTAGGCTTACTCTATCAGAGGGCGGGGAAAAGAATTCTTTTATTTGATTTTTAACTTTTTTTATGCTTTTCCTAAGAAACAAACACTGATTTATTCCACCATTTTCACACCGCCTTCCCTCTTCACATGAAAAGTAGACATGAAAAGTAATCCATCTATAAAAGATGGCGGTAGTATTTTAGTTCTAATTATGGTTTTGTTGTATCCAACATCCATTAGGTTAAAATTTAATTTTTCAAATATTTAAATATAATATTTTATTTATATACATTTAAGGATTAAAGTTAAATTTATATGTATATATTTTATATTTATGTTTGTGTTAGCACGTCTCCAACACATATAAACTTATTTTCTTTTGAGAAAAATAAATTTATTTTTTATTTAATTTAATCTCTCATTGATTTTAAGGTTTATTCATAAAAAAATATCTTAATATATGCTGACTTTGACAAATTTATGCTTATCTAGATGTTTTAAATTTAATACTTTTTATTTTTTTTATGAGTAAATTACATTGTTCCTCATTGAAATTTACTCTCTCCTGTTTTGTTCACTGCACTTTCAATTTTTCTATTTTGCTCATTAAACTTTACACATTGAATAGTTGTGCTCACTTTGCCATTAACTTTTAAACGGCATGATGATGTGTCTTTTTTTATTTAATATAAATAATTGAAAATATAAGATAAATTACACCGTTCCTCACTGAACTTTACTTTCTCTCCTATTTTGCTCATCCGACTATAAAATAAAAATAGAAGTTGATCGGATGCCACTATCGGCCACCGTCGACCGCCGTAGACGGTGAATGTTCGATCTCAAATTTCATGATTCGCTTCGCCTCGACACCTTGAGTCCGAATCCAATCTCTATTTTATCGGAACTTGCTTTGAAGTCCACGGATTGGAAATTGAGAGTGAGGAAGTCGAAACGTTTCAGTCGAGAAAATGACATGTCATCAGACCATTAGAGTTAACGGCAGAGTGTGCAAAACATTTCGATATATAAATTTCGGTGAGCAAAATAAAAAAATTGAAAGTACGGTGAGAAAAATAAGAGAGAGAGTAAAGTTCAGTGAGGAATGGTGTAATTTACCCTTTTTTATTGAACGATTAGAGTTAAGATTTTTATATATTTATTTTGATTATTCAGTTAGATTGATATTTATATTCATGTTTGTGTTAGCACGTGTCTCTAATATATACATGAATTTGTTTCCTTTCAAACAATATAAATTTATTATAATTCATTTTTTTTTAAATTTAATCTCCGCATGATTTTAGGATTTATTCAAAAGAATTTATCTTTAACTGATGAAAGCTTTGACAGATCTACGCTCATATGTAGAGGATTTTATCAAGCACTATAAATTTTAATTTATATTTTCTTAAAATAATTTCATACATTTTTATTTATTTATTTATTTACAAATAAGTCTAGGAAGTGTATGAAAGTAGAGTGAGAAACCAAAAACTCTTAACCTAATACTTCACCCGTGTGATTTTGAAAGAAAGGAAGATAGCAAGTTGATTACAGGCTTTTTTAAAGAGTATAATTACGGTAGTTTAATTTAAGGTTAAAGATCAATAAATAATAGACACAATTGAAAATGTCATAAAAATTATAATATTTTCATTTAGCGTAACCTAAAATATTACGGGAAAAAAGTAATATATTCTGTTGTTAATCGAAAATTTTATAAAAAAAATTACAATAAAAAATATTAAAAATAATATTTTAAATTACATCCAACTAAAAATATTATATTATTTTATAACATCTTAGATTGTACATTTTCTTAACCTTAATTTAGTATGTCATTCTTGAGGCTCTCCCGAATAAGAGGTTAGAAAGCAAGACGTCTTTCTTCCTGTGAGAAACTTGTATAAAATACAGTGATTGAATTCCAAATTATTCTGGCAGACACAGTTCCCAATTTTTTTAAAAAACTTACAAACACTGTATATAAGTCTTGTCTAATATTTTGGGATTAACTGCTTAACTAATACTCTCAGTTTATAAGTAAAAAAAAAAAAGGTCGGTCCCCAATGTGCTGCCCAACCCATCATCATCACTTAAATTATTGCTGATGAGAGATAAATTGAAAGTTGAGAGGATAAGAAATGTCCAACTTCTTTAACCACGTGAATGATTGAACCGTGTGCACAAGCTATCTTCAAACACATTTATATGGGTTAATATTTAATTTATTAATTATACATAATTCATTATTCATTAAGCTTAGTGTGATGTCTCATTAACGAGGTGAATACAAATTTATTCTTTAATGCTAAATAAAGTTATTTATATTCAATATTTAATTTACATTGGGACATAGCATATGGGATTTTGTTTTGGGGGGGGGGGGGGGGAAGTGTTGTTGTATCACCATATATGAGAATTGAGATACAATGGTGATTCATGAGATTAGACGAGTCCCTTTGGAAGGTATTTTATGGAGTATGTTTTATTCCTGTTTCACAGTTGCTTTTTGTCTTCACACTCCTAAATCGATGGATTCTTTCTTTTAAAGAAAAGGAAGAAGTTGTGTTTAATGCGTTTTCATTTGTCATTTTCAGCTTTTACATTGTTAATTTCAGGTTGTACCATAATTCCACACCATTACACGTATGATTCCAGCTCATAATTCCCTTATTGTTTTTGAAATTATAAATTAATTTTAATGGTTGAAAATATATGATGATTAAGTTTATGTTCTGGGTATGTCTTCAGCTCTAGAAAGAATCATTTTAATCTTTTTTATGGTGTACTATTTGTGATGTGAAAATTGTTATGATATTAAGCACACAAGCAAAGGATGAAAACGAAGATGTCAAATTCATCTATGAAAACAACGCACATGTCATCAAGCAGGAACAGCAACAGAAAACATTACATTTATGTATCAAATTGAAAATCTTGTAAATTTCTTTCTTTTCATTGACAATGTAGAATCAGTTTTAACTATGATTTTCACAAGATTAAAAAAAAAAGTTATGCTATATTCCCACAGTACTATGATAGATACAAAGAAAGAAGAAACCAGAGTCAACTCCACTGCTATCATTTCAATCCATAATTATAGGCACAGTGAAGTAGTAGGATGGTAATTGAGTTTTTTTTTTACCCAAAAATCACCCATAATTAATTACGGCATCATTTCAAAAAAATTTATTGATATATCGCCCTTTTAGAAAATTTTACCGATCTATCACCTAAAGTTAGTAAGTTCTATATTTGATGCCCATGTTACAAACTACTACCTCAAACATTTGAGTCCATGCTTCAAGAGTTGCGGGGAAAGAACGAGGAATGATATAATTACATCAGCATCATCAATAAAGAAATGTGGACAAATGCATATGATGGTGGATATTGATATGGACACATGACGACGAACTTGGTTGAGACTATCAATTCGACCTTAAAGGGGGCATGTCATTTACCAGTAACGGCTTTGATAAAAACTACATATTTTCGTTTGGGAGATCTTTTTGCCAAGCTCGGGGGACAAGCTCAAACTTGGATGCAAAACGGTCATTTCTATCACCCTAGATTAGTTACAGATCTACAAAAAAGAATTGCTACATCAAATGGAATGTATGTAACAAGCTTCTCTATAACCCATGAATTGTTTCGTGTCACATAGATCTCGCGATCTCTTCAAAGGATTCAAGCTAACTCGTTCAGAGTTAATCTACGAGACAGATGGTGCAACTGTGGGTTTTTTCAAGCTCTGAAGTATCAATGCTCTCATGTCATAGCAGCTTGCTTGCATAATCGTCAAGACTATAACCGTTTTGTGGTTCTCGTATACCTACTATCAGAAGTGTTTAAGGTATATGAATTTGAGTTCCCCCATAGGTAATAAGAAATACCCTAATGAGGTTCAGAATTGGCTTTCGATTGTACCATATTCGTTCTTATTGAGGGAGCATGGTCGTTCAAAATCACTTGAATATGGATATTCGGGAAACGTCTAGATAAAACAAAAGATGTGGGCATTGTAGAAACCCAGGACACAGTTGGAAAAAATGTCCATCTCTTTTGTCATCAAGTAACCGTTGATGTTGTGCTTGATGTAGTTGTAGTTTATGAATGCCAAGTTTCTGTAATCTAATTTTCATTTACTTTAAGTTAATGTCATTTGAGCATCACCGATTAATTAAACAAGAAAGTGATACAAGAAAAGGGATTAAAAAACACTAAATAATAAAAGCATTCACTTAAATTAAGTAATAAAAAATTAACAAAATAAATTAAGTAATAAAAGGTAAATAATTAAAAATAATTACAATTGTTGGTAAATAAAAAAATTAAATAAAAAAAATAATGAAATGTATGAATCTATCGATGCCTGAGTCTTGAATGTGTTCTGCAGGGTAGTGGTTGTCTATCTCGAGGAGGATTTCTTTGTATAACTTATATGACTCCTCACTCTCATTATCATCATCACCATTGTCATTGTCATCATCGTCGTCGTGATCATCATCATCATCATCAGGAGTAGATACATTTTGTTGATAAGGGATGAATGACGATGTAACACCTCCATAGAATGAACCTGGAGGTGTATCACTGACTATCCCATCGCTCATAGAAAACTGGGAAAACTGCGAAAAGACCGACATTGATGAATGAGAAAACTGTACATGAGGTTTCTGTGTGGCGACCATCGGTGGCGAAGTTGGACCTGCCAAATAACCAGCATATGAACCTCAAGTTGGATATACAAACATAGAAATATAATATCCTCCAGGACGTATCATATAACTCTCCGACGGTGGCGGCATTTGGTATAGAAACGACAGTGGTGGCATTTGATATGGTTGCGGAGCTATCTGAAATTGTTGTGGAATGTACAACGGTGTAGACGGTGGCTGCTGTGAAGATTTCGGTACTGCAGCTAAGGAGGAACTGTAAGCGTCTTCTCTCCATCCATGAGTCGGGGGACGATTGTATTGTGACAGTGACGTCTTTGTCGACGCCGATGAATGCTCCCGCCTCGTGCTTCCTCGGAAAGTAGTAACGGTTTCCCGTTCCTATTGAACCACTCGTAATAACTATATGCAACCGTCAAATGGTCCACATAAATGGGTTCTATACGGGGAATATGCCCACGTCGATCCTCCCATATCATTACCCACTCATAATGCTTCAGCAGCCAATCCACTTCTTTTTTTTCCGCGTCGATCGGTGCTATGCAAATCGTTGAGATTCTTAAGTGCTTCCGAAATTGATTATACAAAACTAAATTGGCGGAGCACGCGATCAGTGGGATGTCACTTGACAATCGCATTACAGATCAGAGGGATCACCTCCATTCAAACATCTAATAGGCCCCTTAAGTCGTGTGGGATGCAAATCTTCATCTCTTCAGTATAATAAGGAGACCATTCAAACTAAAACAAATATATATATAGATCTTATCAAAATAATAATCTAATTATATAACGATAATTAAAGGTAATTTTTTTTTATTTAAATACATATCTCTGTGTCATCCTTCTTATCAATGAGTAGCCTAATTTCTTCTAATTCATCAGGTAAATCCCGATGATATTTCCTTACAGTAGACCACCTATTCAATGAAATAATTTTTATTACATACTAAATAAAATTATTAATATACGAAGTTAATATTGTAATTACTTCAATAATAGCGAGAATACCCACGGGTTTTTCACCACCGGACATAAAAAGGTCATGCAATACCTCGCCCAAGACTGCAGCAGAAGGAGACATTCACAGATAACATTTTTTTTCTATAGTCAGTAGCTCGACACATTTACTTATAGAGAAATGCCAAAACTACCGAGCCCCAACTCAGTGTGCCAGCATGATGAAAATCGGTGAGGTGACGCAACCACATACAGTGAACTTGATTGCGTGATTTGCCCGACATCATGAGCCCTCCTATCAGCTTTAGTATGCAAGCTCATGCATACATTTTAACCTATTCCTCCGAGGCGTCGCTACTCAAATGCTTGAAAGTTGCATCCAACCAATTTAACGAAATTCGATCACCGTTGAAATTAGGCGGGACACTTCTAAGATACTCCTGACACAATGAATTTCAGTCACCGTGCACCACCCCAGAAAGAACGTCTTCATCTATCGTAAGTCCCAAATGCATGGAAACATCCTCCAGTGTAATGTGTGTGCACTCTCAGCACGGAATATGTAATGTGTGTGTCTCCGGTCTCCACCGCTCGATCAATGCAGAAATCATGTTGGATTCTAGGATACAGTGCCCTTCGTATCTTGCTACGTAACCGAATCTAGCCTCGACTAAATACGACCATACACGGGTTGGTATCTCTAACTTAAGATTACGAATAAATGGATCTAATATACGATCTCTCTCCTAATTTAATAAATATTTTAGAAATTAAAATATAAACTAATACTAAAAAATTTAAATAAATAAAATATTAAAAATAATTAAAATTAAAATAGAATATAAAAATGTTACCGTATCAGCAAAATGCCTCGAGAGATGATGTACATCTAAACGAAACAGACCGTCTTCCATTTTATAACTGAAAAAAAATAATAAAAAGTAAATGTAATACAATTTAATAAAACAATAAAGTATTAATTTATTATAATATAGTAAAATATTTTACCTTCTAAATATAATTTGACCAGGTTTGAGCTTTAAGAGGGTTTGAGCTTTAAGAGGGTTTGAGAGGATTTGAGAATTTTGTGTGTTTGAATAAAGAATAAAGGGGTATTTATAGGGAGAGGGGAGGGGTTTGGCCGGATGGGGTAATTAATGGGAGAGGTGTGAATGGTTGAAAACTAATTAAAAGGCGCGGATGCGCGTGTCAGAATCCCAGAAAGGCGCGAATGGTGATCCGTCCCTTGTCAGAAAGTACGTTAGATCGGTAAAATTTTCTGAAACGATGTCTAACAGATAATTAATTACTGTCATGGTGATTTTTGGGTAAAAACGACTTTTTTAATCCTTATGTCTCGATTTAGAAATTAAAAAGTTAATATTTAATTTTATTTTTAATCTAATATAATCTTGATGTAATATAATTAAATTTATTGAGTTCGATCATTTTTACGTTCAAATTATTCGAATTTGTTAGTCAAAATTTTAAGTTAATTTATTTTGAGTTTGACACTCATGATTATTTTGAATTAGTTATTTAAATTATTTTAAATTTGAGTAATTTTTTAATTAAATTAAATAAATCATTTATAACGTCTTATAATTAAATCATTCAAATAATTGAATCGAGTTTTAGGGTATGTTTGTTTCGCTATAATTTTTTTTCGGAAAATATTTTTCCTTATTTTCTAGTGTTTGATTGGTGGAAAACAGATGATCAATGTAATTCATTTTTCTGATCAACTTAATTTTCTTTATATTTTCTGGAAAATAACTTACCATCTTATTTTCCGTAAATTATTTTACGAACTTTTCACTTCAAATACAAGCACTCAAAACATTATTATTTTATATATTTAATATTAATATACTATTTTAATCACTTCAAAACAAGCAGTCCAGGACCCGAACCGGATAGGGTTTCAAAACCCTAACCCTCTCATTCATTCCGACCGCATCCCCCTTGTCTTCTCAGCGCCGCCGAGCAACAACCGTCCAAATCAATGACTCTTGGAGAGCCCTCACACCAACAGCAACAAGGCCACCAACTCCGATTTTTCCGGCACACAACCAAGTCAAAAAACATATTAGAGTTTGAGTCTTAATGGGAGACTAAAAATAGCAAAATCTAAGACTATAAATATACATGTAAATTACACGAAAAATCATAGAGAAAATACAAGAAATTACGCAGAGAAAATACGCGAGAATCTACCTATTTGTAAAAGCTTCAAAAAAGAAATAAAAGGTGAAATTCTTACCTCGTTCAGTTTGTACTTGCTTGTGGCTCGAGTTTACTTTTTTTCCCCTTTTGTTGTTTCGAACCGCCGATGATCTGGAGAGGGTGACCGAGATTTTCAATCTCAGATCTAGCCCTCCTCGAAGGCTATTTTTAAAAAATGGTTTTGATATTCGAAACAAGGGTGAAAAGATCTTTAAAAAAAGAAAGTTTTATTTTTTCTATCGCCGATGAACGGCGACCGACGAGGTAGCGGTGGTCGATTTCAGGGTTCATCAAGAACCCAGTCGACTTGTTCATCAACTTGAAGAACAAGTTGAGAGAGAAAACCCAAGGGGGTATGCGTTTTGAAAAAATGGAAAATTAGAAGGGGGTTTATTTTTTTGGGTTTTATAATGACCAGCCAGCCCGAGTTTGACTTGCGTGTTGACCCGATCCAGGGCCTAGGATCCGCGTGTTTTTTTTAGGGAAAATAGGATAATTTCATTTTCAGTCCCTCTCTTGCTTCAAGGATATGTTTTGACCCTTAATTTTGATTTTTACCCTGATTTTCTTTTAAATTTTACCCTCTATTTTATTTTTATTTTAATTTAGTTATTTTTTATATTTTTTCATGTTTTTTTAATTTTTTATCATATTATATATGTATATATATTTTATATCATTATTTTATCTTTTTATTTTTTATTTCATTTATTTATTCATTTTTCTAGGGTTTTTGTTTTTGTTTTGTTATTATTTGTTTCTAACCTTTTATTTTTATATTTATACATATATGTTATTATTATTATTATTATATATTTTCCTCTTTATTTTTTATTTATTACTACATTCTATTATATTTATTTTTTCTTTATAATTTTATTTTCTATTTTTCGTTTTCTTTTGTTTCTATTTTTTTTAGTTTTATTTGATTCCATTTTTTTATTTTCATTTTCATCTTATTCTATTTTACTTTATTTCTTTTATTATTTTTATTTTATTTTTTATTATTTAGCTACTTTTAGGTTTTTATTTTACTTCTTTTCTTTATTGTAGTAATAGTCTATGTTTTACTTCTTTTCTTTATTGTAGTAATAGTCTATGTTTAATTATGCAATTATTACTTCCATGTTTATGCATTTTTTTTCTTTTTATTTCAATTTGATTTACCTTTATTTGCTTTGCTTTTATTTTATTCATTTTAGTTCATCAGCATGCATTCTTTAATTTGATTCTGCACTTTACTACATCTTACACTTTTCTTGACTTTTTAAAGGGTATGTTTTTAAATCCATTAAAGGTAAGTAATTTGGATCATATTTTACCATTTATTTTAACTTATCATTTTCTTAATTAAGACAACATTCAATGGTGTTAATCATTCTTTGACTGTAACCGACTCCCGAATCTGACACATCTTTGGTAAGATGCATATCAGGTAAGAAATCAAGGTATCCGATCAACCCATTTTGTTTATAAAATAAATGATCGGCAGCGACTCTAATGTTTTTTTCAATAGTTTCAGCTTATCAAACTTTTTTCATCTAAGGCTCTATACCCGAGCTCCAAACCCATTTTTTAGTGGGGGTGAAAGCGACACCTTCGTGAGAACTTATTCTCTGCACAGGCCTAGTAAGTAGCCTTCAGGATTAATACACCTTATGTCTTCGTGTGAATTTATTCACTGCACAGACATAAGGGAATGTATCCTCTCGGGTTTAACTTAGTCCACACAAGCTTGTAATGGGCTTAGAACTAAGGGTCTAGCAAACCCAAGGGGACACCAACAAGGAGAACTCGGGTACCTTTTTTAGAACCTAAATCGGGAGATGATAGAGAATTAGAGCCTACCCCTAAACTCTATTTCAAAACCTAGGATGTTTTTACCCTAATCATACAGTTTGTTCTCATGTACTTTTACTTTCATCATTTATATTTTTTTTATCTTACTAACTTTGTGTTTTCGTGTTTGTCTTTCTAGCATTTGCATCATAAAAAGAGGCTATTGATCCATAAAAAGGTGTTAGTTACACAAATAATCTGCATTAATGGACAAAGGAGTTGTAATGCAAGAGATAAAAAATGTCGAGGTACGACTATGGTCTGAAAAGACTCAGAAAGAGAAGGGAGACAGTCTGCAAGGAAGCTATACAATTTGCAAGGAAGCTATGTGTCAGAACTGGTTATCTATGCTTCTGTTAGCCTAAAGCAGAGTGATGTTCAAGAGTTACGAAGCATTTGGGATAGCTGGAAGAATGACCAGAAGCAAAAGTTCAGCCAGCGGTATGGTGATATTGCTCTCATTCTCTATGTCAGGACAGATGAGCCCCTAATTAGAGCCTTAGTACAATTCTGGAACTAGGGGTACAGATGTTTCACCTTTAACCAGGAGGACATGGTGCCCACAATCGAAGAGTATACTACACTGTTACACTGCAAAAGCATCAGACTAGAGCGGGCCTACATCAAACACATCAAAAGTAAGCCTTTCAAGAATGGACTGGCCAAGGTTGCAGGGGTTGATGAAAAATGCGTAACTGATTGGGCTCGATATAAAGGCAACGGGGAAGGAATTTCTTGGCTCCATATCAAACAATTGATGAAGATCTATCCCGATGAATAAAAAGCCAATAGATCTTTTCGCACTGGGTCTGTATGGTTTGATTATATTCCCAATGACTTTGGGATATATTGATACAGCTGTGGTGGAACTGTTTGAACAACTCCCGAGGCGAGTAAAACATAACCGACAATTTTAGCTGAGACCTTTCACTCTCTCAACCACTACAGAAAGACTGGTAGAGGAAGGTTCATAGGGTGTGCTCAACTTCTCCAAGTCTGGATTCATATGCATTTCTGGAAGACTAACGGGATAGCCTGCCGTCGATTCAGCACCACTTATTCACCTTTGGGAGAGTTCATTACTCTGAAATGGCATGAAAGCACCTCAAAAGAAAATTGGATGAAAGTCTTCACACATCTTCAGGACCAAGATATTGCCTAGAGAACTCATTGGTTGACCTACAGTGACATTCTCTTCCGATGTGGGGATGTAGACACTATGACACTACTTGGACTATGGAAAGCAGTTGGATATT